TGGAAATCAGTTTGTCTGAAATGCCATAAAGCCAGGCAGCTTACTGCAACAATGAAATGTTGTTCTTAATTGAACTAGTTATTTTGGTAATTATTCAATGTATAGTAAACTTCATTTTATCCGATGTAGAGTTGGGTTTTTCGCCATTTTCGTTTTATTTTATCGACGGATACAGAACCTATATATATATTCTCGCATTTATTCTGTTTGACAATTTTGTCATTTTGTTTTCCCAAATTTCGAAATTTTTTACCCTCTCTCTCTACTTCAGATAAAAAGGACTATACTATATTCTTGTTTGATATTTAAATTATAAGTTGTGAAGTTTTGTATAATGATGTTTTGTAACAGGTCACTAACGTAATTGGCTCACGCTGTGTTAGTGTTCCTGAACCGTCTTCCTGTTTGTATATGTATATTTCGGTTGACGGCTGAAGTTAATAAATAAATAAATAAACAAGTCAAAGAATACTCTAACTGGAGTACCTACCAAATAATCGAACATAACATTTTCAATTATGATTTAAATCTAAACAATATCAACGTGTTCAATGTTTTTCTTAAATATATTGCTAATTAGCTACATGTTTTTGTTAAAGAACAGCATCATGTCAACATTTTTTGCCTTCAGTCTGTTGCCTTCATGAAGTATTAAGTGATTGGTCAGGAATACTGACCAAAAACATCGCAGGCTCAAGTGGTATCGAATTACCGATACTTTTTTCGAGTATCGAAAGTATCGATACTTTTGTAAGTATCGATGATTTCGATACTTTTTCGATAGTATCGCCCATCACTAGTTTAAATACGATTTATATAGATCAGACTTCATCCTCGCGACCTGCGCGTGGAATCGTCGTGTACTCGTGTTTACTGTTCGGCAAAAATATTGAAACAAGCCGTGGGAAGTTTTTTGGCGTTTTTATCTACAAAGAAAGCCCCAGTTTTTCATCATAATCCTAATTTTTTCTGAATTCGAACAGTACGTATGTTATTAACTAGTTTTACCTATCTTTTAGTGTGTTTTTACGTATTTACGTTCAGTATTGTCTTTCATATTGCTCAAAATTTTCAACTTGTTATTTTGCGAGCTGTCAAACTGAAATGATACTGTCTTCTATTAACTCTTGAATAGTAGTGAACTGTTGCCGAAACTTATATAAGTTCTGTCAATCAATTCAATTCACAGGTATCGTTTTATCTGCTAAGTCAAATAAAACAGTTATGAGTTGTATTATATGAAAAGTTAAACTTGTAGTTCGATGTTTTGAAAAGTTTTCACACCGATTTTAACAACAAAAACAAATGTAAACTAACATTGGATTTAATACAATGCCTATAATAGTGTTTTTATTAGTATTTTCAAGATTAATATTTTATTTTCATATCAAACAAGTCAGCAATATCTGTTTTCTTATGTATTGTAAGCCAAAAAGTTGAAATCAACACCGCGGAAAAACGTCTGCGCATGCGTCAACCTTACCTGTAATAGTACTGCGAACTTGATGAGAAGCTGTTCCGAACATAGATATAGGAGACCTAGATTGCTGACTCTAATGTTTTCTATAACGCGCGAGCGTGGCACTCATGAGCATTCAAAATGGCGGCTCAACCGGGCAAAAATCATAGAGCGAGATAGGGAAAAAACATGTTTTTCGCAGTTTGCTTCGTCCTACAGCTTCCGATCCCGTTCTATCACTTTATTTTGGCAAGAACTAACTGGTGTGAAGGTTTTGAATGAATATTTGTACAATTTAAGTTTAATAAAGACGAAATAATCGATCGTTAAATGTTATCTGAAAATCATCACATAGTCGGTTGAGCAGTTCGAGACATTTTGTTACAGAAAATAAAGGTTTTGGTTCTTTGGGTGCTTTTTTTCTCGAGGATCTCGGTTGGGATATATAACAAGGAATAATATTGTGAAGTATTTTGAAGTTAAAACCTATTTTACTTTATTTATTTGGTCCAGTGGCGTGCTGGGTACTATTTTTCTGGGGGGGCTAGTGGGCTGTCAACAAATATGCGCCCCTATAATTTTTCGCTTGATAAACGAGGGCTGAAGGCACGAGCCGAGTGCCGCAGGTGCGAGGTTTGTCTAGGGGGTCCGGGGGCATGCCCCCCAGGAAAATTTTTGAATTTAGAGTCTCTGAAATGCCATTTCCTGGACTTTGGGGGGAGATTTGACAGAAATCTGATGGTCAGGAAACAGCATTATAACGTGTCGAAATTTGTAATTTGGTTTGAATTTAGTAGTAGTAGTAGTACTTATATTATGCAATGCTAACAACTTCCAGCGATTAATCTAATCCCAATTCTATTCTCTACTGATCTAGTGATCTGAATACAATTACAACATACAGCTCTTTTATACAATAACACACGGACCCCACGCATATGCATTTTAAGGTTTCCCTGCCTGGCTGCCAAAAGGGCGCGTTTCAGCATTATTTCATTACTCATGATGTTTCTTGTGCAAACAACTAAATTGCGTAGACAACTTTACATTATCATAACTTAAACTATCTAATTTGCGCCGCTCTTGTGATTCGTGAAGCATAATAAAGTGCATAATACCAGCAAAAAGGGCATAATTCCCGTGATCGCTTCGAAACCTGACCAATATTCCGGTGATGAGACATTGCGTGTGATCACAGTTCATATTTCTATATGAACGATTTCGTGTGAGCTACAAATTAGCAAATACGGTTAGACAAAATAGTCTGTATAATTTAATATATCACTTTGTTGTCTATTCGCTTAGTCTGTTTTATAAGCCTATAAACACATCTTTTCTCGGCGGAAGTAACTATATTTTTTCGAATGCGTTTTTCCCACCCACTTTCAAAACTCGGCGCGGGATCGGCGCCCCTTTTTCATTTTTGCGCCCTGCAAGAATTGCCAGCTGGGGGGGCCATGGCCCCCCGGCCCCCCCCCCTGCCAGCACGCCACTGATTTGGTCTGCTGGTGCGAAAATTCTGATGCTCTGTTTAGTGTGACTTTGACAACCTCCTTGGTGCTGCAGATGTCAAGGGATCTCAAGTCTATATGGCCTGGACAGTGAAAAGTGATGAATCAATCAGGTTTGTAGAGAGAACTAGTGACAGCGAAAGTTTTCAATGGAAACTAGTTTGAAGAAACTGACTAATTTGTCTGGTGTGCATCAAAAACCTTCACAGTATCTAGTTCTCTCCAAGAAACCTGATTGATTCATCATTGATAATCAAAAATAGATGGGACGGCATCTTCGTTTAGATATTTCTTGGATAAGTTGGATTGGCCTTTTATTGATTGCTCTCCACAATCAGCACTCTCCCCTTCAGGCACTCTCCTCTTGAGACGGCTGACTTAAGCATCAGCAGCTTTCCCTTGACGAGTAAAATTGTCTGGTGTTAGACAGAGTAAAATAATAAAATAGGGCACAAAACGACTCAATGGGTTAACTAGACACATGGGCAGATAGGACAGTTAACCCATTAAGTGCCACTGCTCTCCCCTTGATGAGTAAAATTGTCTGGCGTTAGACAGAATAAAATAATAAAGTAGGGCGCATTGCAACTCGATGGGTTAATATAATCATCGGGTGTGAAGTGTTTCTCACACAAGACAGGGTTCGTACGGGTCCTAGAAAGTCATGGAATTTCAATATTCCAAAATCCAGGCCTGGAAATCCTGGAAAATCAAAATTACCTATTTCAATTTACCAGTCATAACAATAATATGAATTGCTGTTTTCAATTTACCAGTCATAACAATAATATGAATTGCTGTTATATAACAGATTTTTGCAAGAGCGAAGTGAATTTTGTTCTTTTACTATATCTGTTATCGTTAAAATATTAACGAATTTCAGAAATTCCAGACTTCCAGGTCATGGATTTTGAAAAAAATAGTCATGGGAAGTCATGGAATTTTAAATCGGAGAAAGTGTGCGAACCCTGACAAGACTGGATATTTGATTGGCATCCAGTCTGCCCATTTCATTTTTTAGCAGGCTGGGATTGGTTATAGGAAATCCAATAGTGCAAAGGGAAAGATGTATTTTTGGTTCACTGATGTGAACAAAAGTAAAACATTTTTGACCTTGAACAGGACAAGGACCTCTATGACAGTTGTTGTCAACATGCATATATATAGAGAGAGAGACTCCTAACACAGATTGACACAGACATCAAAACAAGTTGTTTGGTCTAATATTCTTTTATTAAAACTGTAAATAGTTTTATATTGTAGCTAGCAAACTCAAAACTACATTTGTTGTGACGTTGTCATTACAGTATTTACAAAACAAATTGTTTTTATTCTATTAATATTAAACTATTCTGTTTATATGATGTAAGTTATAGACTTTATATAGTGTACAAATATATGATGTGTGTGTTTCATAGACTTACTTATGGAAGGAAAAGCGAATACCATCTTTTAAATCCCCACGTCTGCCTTGCACTAATAC